GACTTATGTAAGAAATCCATCCAGTTGGACTTTATCACCGAATAAGCCTATGAGATTTATATATTTTGCATTATTTAACACTCTAGGTAGTATCTGAGATATGTCTGAAGATATATTTGTGAATTACGATTTCTAGAAATCTATTGCAGACCTCTAAAAGCAGGGAAGAAACAGAAAAAATGATGGGCTGACACCCACTACAAGCAAAGCACTGGTGCAAAGCAATCTCCCTTACTTATTTCTCTCAGCTTTTCTTTCAGTGTTTTGATCACCAGGAGACAGTAATAAGTTTGTTTAGATTCACTTACATTTTAATTGCAACAAACAGTTCTCGGCCTGAAAATTTTCCAGTCTAAATATGCAATAATTGAATTCTCATTTATATTGATTTGTCATGACTAAACCAGAATTTCAGAGGGGTACACATATGCTACATGCCTGGTGGGGCTGGAACCAGTAGACCCACATTTATAGGACAGGGAGTTTTTGACAATGTTCTTTAATATTTGCATTTTTAATTTTAATTTTGACAATGTTTTTTAATATTTGCTTTTTTTCCTGAGACTACTTTAGCCTGTGAAACACATTTCTGAAATATTAATGAAAAGTGAACATAGACGAGAATAAATACTATTGCAATTAATTAAGGAGAAAACACTAATATGCTCAGAAAAACTGGCATAGTCTTTGCTTGGCCTTCAAATCTCTAGAATAATAATGTAAGATATCAAGCCAAATAGCCAATGTGCTTTTATATGGAGTGCTACAATTCAGATTCTCAGGCCTGGGAATTCAGGCACAACGAAAGAATGGGATTTGACCATGCTTAATCAGCACAGAACATCTTATTGGAAAAAATTCTCTGTGAGCTATGCATGAATGCTGAGTGACATCCTTAGGGTTACAAAAAATATATGGTGAGTCCTCAGTCACTACACAGTCACCTAAGGTGGCTGCAACCTCGGTGTCTCTCAAACCAGCATGACTTAAGGAGTCAATGGAGGTAAAAATTTCCCAGGACAAAAAATTGAATTATTAATTTCCAGCCCTTTTCCTTCCATGTTCTTTATCTCCCACTAAAGGTGGCTGTGGGGTTGTGTTTAAGTCAGGACCAGTGAAAGGCTGAGGTGAAAGGTTTGGTGCTGGCACTTTTTGTTTACTTGTTTCTGATATTTTCCTTGAAGACCCCTGGACTGGAGCTTTGCAGTGGTAAGAGATATAAAAGCATAGAGACAGTGCTTGTCCTGAAGAACACCTCATTTTCTATGTATTTCTTCCATTTAGGGCACACATATATTTCCTCTTTGCTTTCAAAATCCCCTCTTCTGTTTGGACACTCTCTGTTCTCTAGTGCAAATCACAGCTGCCTTTTATTTTACTTTTTTTTTCCTTTCTCCTGCCTGTTCTTCAGCTGTACCTTGTCTTCATCAAAACGAATCTAGTTAATTCTTCATTTTCAAACCAGGCTGTGGTGCACAGTCCACAGCTGCTTAGCAACAGCTCCTTTTTGTGTGCAGGGATAGGAGCAAGCAGGGATGCCAGCCTGGAAGTGTGATTCCCCAAGATGAGGAAAAAACAGGAACAAGACAGGTTGTCTCCCTCTGGGCTTTAGTGCTGCACATCCTACTGCTACACACTGGCAGAAATGCCAGAGGGGCAGGTTTTGCTTTCATTACCAGAAATGGCTCTTAAAATAAAAAATCCTGTCTCAGCACATGATGGGAATAAAGTATGTACAACTCTGGTATGTCTTGGATGCATGTTTGGGTGATCTAAACCATTCCTTTATTAAGCATTAGGCACGGTTTACAATTACTCAAATCCCAACACTCACAACTTCACATAAGCCTGAAATGTACCAATGAGGAATGTGGGTAACTTTATTACACAGAATTTAGGAGACTAATTGTTGCAATCTAAAACCAGGAGGTCTGGCAATTTCAGACTGATAGGAGCTATTTATGGTATGGATCTCTTCCCAGACAGAATTCCAAAAATGCAGAAGAAACTGGGAAGTAAAAATGTTGTATTTACAATCCTCTATAAGCATGTATGGGAATGTACCTTATCTCTCTGTTAAAACTGTTTACATCACATCCTTGGGTGAAAATCAAGAAATCCAAATGATGGGGCTCTGAGGGAACAGCATTAATAACAAATATTAAATTATTTTAAAATATCCAGGTTATCTTAAAAATCTTATTACTTCAAAAACATAAACCCGTAAGGTGACTTTAGGATTCAGGTTATTCTAGAGATTGGGTTAAAATATTCTTGTAACTGAAGGCCAGGATAATAAACACTCCAGAGGGCTTTGTGAAAATCTCAAGAATAGTCAGATTGAGACACTAGTCTTCATGCCTTCCACATTACCTCAAGCTGCAAAGCATGAATTTGGAACAAGGCGCAGCCAGAATTTTGTTAAGCCTTACAGGCTGTTGTAGATTAATTTCAGCTGGAGATGCCAGCAGTGGCCCTAAGTATGTAGAGAGGAGGAAAGGTTACTTAAATCCAGACTGAATCTAACTCAGAATTATGAGACCTGCTGTCTGGCCCATCCCATCTTCACCCCACTCTTGCCTTTGCTGTGAGTCAGAACAGCCCATCTAGGTACAAAATGGAAGGAATTTCTCCAGTATGTTGTTTTTCCTCCAAAATAAAGGTTTAGAATTCCTTTTCCATATGCAAGATATGCAGTATATAGGAAAAGAGAACTATCAAGTGCATCTTCCCATCCTCTGTTCTCCAAATACAACCTTTACTGAATTTCATAAACAGTTTGTGACAGCAGTAAGGAATCTTCATGCTCCTGGTCCTGCCTCCATTCTGCCTCATGCTCATGTAGGAGCTCGCAACAAAGAATTCAATGCCTTGCCAGGTAAATCTGTCACAGGAACCCCAAGAAAGAATACTTTCTGACAGCTATTTTTTATATTTTTAGATCTATATTTATACTTTGTATACAGTACTTGCTCTCTCTCTCTCTCCCCATGACTACTAGCACATTACTCAGAAGGTACTAATGCATGTATTTGATAAGGTGATTGTTTGTATCAATTTGACATTATGGTGTAGATGTGCCTGTTGTAACTATTACTAAATTGCTGGTTTAATTTTTACTTATTATCCAAGACCCAAATGTGGAGCTCTGTATATGACAGTATAGTCACGCTCATTCATGCTAAGTGACATCAATGAATGACAGCTGGAGATTATAAGTGCTGCTGAAGAAAGCAGAGTTTTACTCAATGTACTCCACAGATCTTAGAATCATGGTTTGGATTGGAAGGGATCTTAAGGATCATCTAGTTCCTATAGGCAGGAACACCTTGCCCTAGACTCAGTTACTCAGAGCCTGGCTCAGAAGATGAACTTGAACTCTTTGAGGGATGGGGCATCCACAGATGCTCTGGGCAACCCATGTCAGTGCCTCAGTACTGTCACAATCAAGAATTCCTTCCTATGATCTCAGCAGATGCTACCCTCTGTCACTGTAAAGCCATTGCCCCTTGTCCTCTCAGGACCAGCCCTTGTGAGATGGTTCCCTGCAGCTTCCTGTAGGTCCCTCTTCTTGCAGGATGAGGCTGTGGAGCCCCTGAGGAATTTCACTGGTACCCTGCTCCCTGCAGCCTTTTTCCCCACAAGATTCTTCCCAAAACAGAATCCTGGAACAGGACTCCTTCAGGATGCATGTGTGTGCTTGGTTCAGGAGCCAATCCAGTCACAGCCACAGTGGGTAAGAGTGCAGTGCCCAAGCTGCATCATTTTTCCTACAGAGGTGCAGTGAAATGCAGGTGCAGCACAGTCTGTGCTGGTGCCATCAGGCAGAGAAATGCCTTCTGGAAGGCTCTACGCCCTTACTGACAATGAGTTCTGTTGCTGTTCTGGGCTCGATCTAATGAGGCCATTGTGACACCCTTATTTCAGGGTGGCAAGTGACATACAGCAACTGAATGCTGTAGGCAGAGAAGGGTGCTCTTGTTCTAAACCACAGGCCATTCTCCATGCCATTGTACTGTGGGAAATTAAGAGCAAAAGAGTTTCTTTCCCATCCTGTGGTGATTCTGTGCAGCACTCAGGAAAACAAGCACATCAAACTGCAGTTTGTGTCTCTGCAGCTGGCTATTTGATTGCTCCTTCTCTTCATTTGCCAGGCTTGTACAGCCTCTCATCTTCCTCAACTCCTCCATTTCTCTGCCCTCATCTCCTTCCAAATATGGAGCCAAAAACCCAGGGATCATTTCCCCCTGGCTCACAGGTGGGCCCTGCCTGTGAACAGCCTTGGTGCTGCAGGTGGTGTTGGCCCACACACCTTGGCCTTCCATGGCATTCCTGGTGTGCTTTCCTACTGTTCCTGCCAGGTTCCTCTCCCCAGAATGACCCCAGCTCCTCCTTTGAGTATCTGTGAAATGTGACCACCTGGCACATCAATCCCTCTTTGCTGCCCATGAAATCTGGCTCTGCCTTAGGGCACTGGCACTCCAGTCAGGAGCCAGGAGTTTCCCTTGTCATGCCTGGGAGTTTCCCAGATGTGTTCCCTTAGCTCAGGCTCACATCAGCCCCTAAATCAGCAGCCCATGTACATTTGAGCATTGCCTCCAATGTGTCTGCTTTTTCCCTATCCCTTTCCTAGGCTTGATGTACCAGGTTCCCCAGCCCACAGTGTCTCAGAGCACTCTCCTCTCTGACCAGGCACTCTGGAGCTCTTTGGAGCCACTGTCCCTTGGTGCCTGCCATGTCTGCCTGCAGGCTCATTCTGCAAGTGCTGACCATGGAAGTCCTTGCTTTGCCCAGGAGTCAAAATTGGACCAAAAAGATGGTACCCTGTAACCATAGACAATTTTACTTCATTCAGGTAAGTCAACTGCGGTGTCTGCATGCACACAGGAGAGGAGTGTGGTCAGGAGAGAGCAGGGTTTTGACCCTGAGACTGCCTTTGGATCAGCAGGAAATGGTTGTGGTGCACTGCAGTGTGTCCTGGATCATGGCTGTCCTGCTGCTCAAAATGTGTGTTGACCAAAGGTCTGCTGGAGGAGTTCCTTCACTTGAGTAAATAATTCCACCAGAATCTTGATGGGAAATGGGCAGGAGTTAACTTTGCACAATGTTGGTACTGGAGTTGATTTTGGAGAGGGGGTTGGTCTTGGCCATGGCTTCTGAGAAGGTTGTGAGGTGAAAATAAAATAACTCCAGGGGTGTGAAGTGGTCAAAAAATGACTACATGCCCGTGATGTTGGAGAGGAACTTCCATCTGGGCTCAGGTTCATGTAGAATATGATCCAGTCATGGAAGTACTGAGTGGAGATGTAGATTCCAGGACGCCTTGCTCTGGCACAGCCTTTTCCCCAGCTGGTTATTCCGATGACCCACCAGTAGTCACTGTTTTTCTCTTGGCACATGAGAGGACCACCGCTGTCACCCTGCAGCAGAGCACAGAGCATTAAGATGTTGTTAAATGTGGCACCTGCCAGCAATGAGGCTATCTCCTTCTCTCTCCCATGCCCTGCCAGAGCTGTATTCTGGGCAGAGGAATGGTCTGCTCAGGGGCTGGAGCCTCCAGAAGCTTGGCTGTGAATGACTTGGGTTCTTGTAGGGTACGGCTCTCTCTGTCATCTCTGCACAGGGCTCCTGGATGTGCAGAGGATGGATGTTTGGCACAAGGGGACCTCTGGGCTGCCAGGAACACTTTAACTGGGCTGTCTGGGTTTTTGGCACAAGGGGAGCCCTGGGCAGGCAGGGGTGGATGGGGAGTGTGTGGGAAGCCCCCACAGCAGCCGGGAATGACCTGGGGCTGGGAGGGCGACTGAGTGGCCAGGCAGAGCAGGCCCTGGGCTGTGTTGGGGTGGTGCTGCTGGGGGCTGAGTGGCTCGTGGCACACTCCTTCTTACCTGGCAGGTGTCGATGAGGCCCTGTGGGTATCCAGCACACAAGTTGTGGGTGTGGATTTTCCCTGAGTACCAGCGACTGCTGTTGCAGAGCTGGACATCGATGAGCTGGACCTTGGCCTCCTGCAGGTGATCACTTGTTTTTCGACCTGTGAGCAAGAGAAAGGAATGAGACCCCAGCAGCTCCTTCCCAGTTCTTCTCCCATGGTTGTCTTGTGGGGGATCTAGTGCATGGCTCTGCATCTGCAGAGGCACAGGAGCTCTCACCTGCCTTTGGGGATTGGGCCAGGCCCATTTCTGCAAAGCTGTATGTCCTGCAGCCTGATTCCAACTTAGGCCTCTGCTATGAGGGGAAACCCAAATCCTCTCCCCAGTGTGCTGAGCTGGCCCAGAAGTTGCTCTTGGAACTCACCTCTTGCAGCAGTGGCACCCCAGCCAGCCACCCAGCAGTTCTGCAGCTCTGACACTTTCAGTGTGATGTCAGGCACACAGGCCAGCTGGATGTAGGGGCTGCACTGGACAGGATGGTCCAATTCCATCAGGGCAATGTCGTAGCTCATGTCAACAGGATTGTAGTACTGGTGCATCAGCACCTGCTTGACGCTGCGCACTTGTGCCCCAGGGCCTGGCTGAGTCAACTGCGTGGCCCCAATCACCACGTACAGCCTGCTGATATCCCTAGAAGGCATGGAGAGAGAGCTGAGAGGGAGCAGAGCCACAGTGTCACAGCAGCCCAGCAGTTGCCAGACCTCTGCATGGCAAGGCAGAAATGGGGCAGTGCTCTGGCAGGTGTGAGTGCCCTCACACAACTTAGGCTGGGGGAATGTCAAGCTGAAGGCTGCTAGGAAGCCTTGGCATGAGCCCAGGCTTCTCCTGAGCAGTGTGGCAGCCTGGCTGCCTGAGAGGAAAGAGGATGGGAACAGCAGGTGGTGCTGCTAACAGGGCACCTGCTGGTGCTGTGGGGATGTCCCCATTCCCTGCTCCTCCTTACGTGACCTCGTCGAAGCAGTGAGCTGCTGTGAGGACCCACTGTGTGCTGATGAGGGACCCTCCACACAGATGCTTCAGGCCTGGTATCCAGGGGTGCTGGATGCTGACGATCCAGGGCCAAGCCCCTGGCAGGGCACCTGTGCCACCCACAATGCGTGTCATGTCGAAGTCATAAGCCACGTAGCCGTAGGAATTAGTTGTGGGGTGGTAGACAGAGGGCACAGCTCGGAGACCGCAGCTCCCTCTGCAAGCAGAAAATAATTTCCATGCTGCTTCATGGCCTGCTGTGTCTCAGGCTGAAGCTCAGCCCTCTGCCCTCCCCACAAGGGCTTGCACGCCCTGCAGGCCAGGGAAGCCCATGGGGTGTGCGTCTGTCCCTGCAGCACCTGGCTGCTGGCAAGGAGCTGAGGCTCCCCATGGTGGGTGGGAAGCTGTCCCCGGCCATGGGGGACAGGCGGGTCCCCTCCAGGGAAGGTCCCAGGTGTTGCCCTGGCTCCTCCCAGGGCCTGGGGCCACTCACCCGCAGTTGTCCCATGTCCCCTGTGCCAGCCCGGCCACGGTGAGCAGGACGAGGAGGCCGAGCCAACTCATGGCTGCCAGAGGCACGTGTCAGCTGCAAGCACTGAGAGCTCCGTGCAGCAGCACAGCCACAGCCGCAGTGCCCGCAGCAGCCGCACTGCCCGTGGTGTCCTGTGGCTGATGTCACAGAGAGGTGGGTTCCATGTTCTGGGCACTGTGGGGATCTGTGTCATGGTGCGCATGGTAAGAGGAGCTTCATTGAATCAATGAGCAATAGAATGGTTTGGGCTGGAATGGACCTTAGTGATCATCTAGCTCCAACCCCCTGCCATGGGCAGGGAGGGATGGCTTGCGCTAGACCCAGTTGTCCACAGTGTGCACAGCCTGGCTCAGAAGTGTCCTTTGACACTTTGAGGGATGAGGCATTGAAGTACTAAGTCCTGATCAGCAGGCCCTGACTAAGGCCAGAACAACATGCCTTGACTAAGAGTTGGCCTCTGGATGAATATTCCAAACAAGTGTTATCTATGTCAACTCACTGGCAAAACATGGATTTACCTTTCCATACTTAGGAACTGGACAAGACCCTATTTCACCTTGCTTGGGGGTGTGCAATCACAAACAACTCTCTTGGCTCCTCCTGGAACCCTCCCAGGCCTCAGGAGCATCCCAGTAGGACACTGAAACCAGATGTTACTGCACTAGAAGTTTTGCTATTTTGCTTATTCCATAGTATAAAAACGGGGACCTCTCACAGCACAGTCAGTAACCTCAGTGCCTGTAGAGGAAGGTACCTGCAGGATTTCCCAGTTACTATCAGTGGTTCACCAGTCCTTCACTGGGACAGTGGCTTCCCCCCAGTTGATGGGCAGGCCTGGATAATGGTCAAGGATTAAGGTAACTTGTGATGTGTCTTTCTTTATCACTGTAGTCAGTTGTTTATGGTAATGATTAGATGTATTGCTATCCTTTTGCAATTCTTTGCTAATGATTTTATGTCCTGCTTACTTATCCTTTTACAATTCTTTGCAGGTTTGAATTACAGTAAATTAAATTTATTCCTGAGGTCGGTGTCTGTGTCTTCTGTGCTGACCCTGCCTACATGAGAAATAGGCTGCACAGCTGCTCAGGGTAACCCATGCCAGTATATCAGCAAGAATTCCTCATATTCCTCACAGTCAAGAATTCTTGACTATGATCTCATCTAAAGCTACCCTCTGTCACTGTAAGGCCACTGCCCCTTGTCCTCTCAGGACCTGCCCCTGTAACAAGGCTCTCTGCTGCTTTCTTTAGGCCCCTCTTCTTGCAGGATGAGGCTGTGCAGCCCCCGGGGCAGGCAGTGGCTGAGGAATCCACTGGGGGCAGGGAGCTGGGTGTGCAGCTGCAGTGCCAGCTGCAGATTGAGCTCTGGCTGGCAGGAGCCCAGGACCAGAGGCTGTGTATCCTTCACACGACAGAGGGCACAGGGAGCAGGCCAGGGGAATGGATACTTATTGGAATTTGGGATGTTTTCCCCCTCCTTTTCTTTTCTCTCAGGGAATTTTCTCCCATTTTTTGCCTAGGAGATAGAAACAACAGATACTTATGAGAGACAAAAGATGTAGCCAAGGAAGAGTGGGAAGGGTGCAGTTTGCTACTGTCTCTGAGCAGTGAGGTTCTCTTGGGAAGTGCTGAGATACTGTGAGATTTTGGCTGGGGTTGAGGGACTAGGCTCAGCTCCTCACTCACTCTCAGGGCCGGAAGGGAATGATCCAGTTTGCTGCTGCTGTGGGGTGAATATGTTGCCACACTGGAATTCTGTTCTGAACTGCTTTTTTTCCTTTCTGTGGGTGAGCTTCTGCTCACAAGAGCAAGTGTTGAACTGGGACCTTTCAACACCCAACCTCACTGGGAAGGTGATCCTGACCCCTTCCCAGAGGATGCATCTCCCAGCTGCTTGTGCCTACTGCTTGTAGTAGCCTGGCAGCCACTACCCGGCTGTGCTGTTTTATGCTGATGATTTAGGCTTTTTTGCTACACATTAACCTGACACTCCATGCCTGCCCAAACACTCCACAGCTTCTGGCATGGCTCTGGAACCTTTGCTACACTTTGTTTGTCACTCTGGGATAGGCCTGCCTCTGCTGTTCCAGCCTGTTCTCCAAGGTTCCTGCTGCAGTCCATTCAGCTTTCCAAGTGACAGAGACCTGTGGAAGGATGGATGGTAGAATAGAAATAGTGCTGAAGGCACTCTTGCCCCTGAGGAGTTGCAGCTGTACTAATTACCAAAGAGTAAGAACAGCCTTGCCTTTAATAGGTCACAGGTGTGTCCAATAAGGCCTACCCTTAATAGGCTGCAGCTGTGTCCAATAAAGATGGGCTAATAAGATGGGTGTTATAAAAGAGTGGATTAGCAAGTTGAGGGAGAGTTTGAATTAGTTGCCTGTGCTCCCCCAGGGAGTAAGGGTCAGGTGTTTGTGCTAGGGACAGTAAGGGTCGGCACGTCTGCTAGGGACAGAAGGGGTTAGGTGTTTGTGTCAGGGACAGTAAGGCTTAGTATGTGCTGCTAGGGACAGGAAGAAGTCAGCCAGCCATGTGAAAGAAAGAAAAGGAGTTGGTGTTGTGAGAACTCACAAAGACAAGGTATGAAAATCTTATAGCAAGATAATAAACTAATGGTGACAGTCAGAACCAACCCACAATCAGCACACACAAACCAAAACAAAGGACCTGCCTGCCTTCCCAGACACACACCCGTCAAACAAACAAAGAAAGGACAGACACAGCAAGAACGAGCGACTCGCTATCGAAGGAAACAGACATCACTCACCCGACGGAAGCAAACGCAGGAAGGAATACAGACACACACCCACACTGTGTGAGAGTGCATGGATGGGAAATTGAACAGGGCACCTGGCAGCTCACTGGAGCGACACTTGCCTCTGGAATGGTCACATAGGGGAATTTCTTCAGCACTGTAGCAGCCCAGGTAGGAATGTAGAGGAGTACCTCTAGAGCCTCCCTCCTCCAAATATCCAATTGCTGGAATTTTCAGGGTGGGAAGGAGACAGAGGAGGAATGTTAACTCCATGTGCAGAGTCTGTGTAAAATAAAAGGGTGTATTTGAGCCTCTCTATTGTTGTGACATTTGGTGCAGATTTGGTGAAATTACTGATAGAGAATTACTGTTGGAGAAGGCATGCGCAGCATGATCAGCCTAAGAGGCCACAGAGGAGTTGTAGAGGCCCCCATAAATTGTGAGGTGGAGAAGCTCGAGTCTCTGCTTGAAGGTTTTGGTGACAGGCACAGGGAGAACCTTGTAACCCTTGTGCCATACAATGGGTGCTAGAACACACACAGGAGGGGGTGGAAGTCCCTTCTTGGAATCCAAAAAGGGGTTTCACATGCCTTGAAGTATTTGATGTGATGGAAAATATCCCTGATTTAAGTAAGGGGATGTCTGTGGCTGAGGTTGTACAGAACTGGGAGGAACTGTTTGGGCAGCAGAATTTTGCCAAGACAGCACAATAAAGTTGTTCCAAAATGATTGGGCAACTCTAAGCTGGTCTGCTCACTGGACTGGGTAATGGCCATCCCCAACGCTGAGTGACATTCTTTCACTTGGTGTCTTTAGTGAGCAGACATCTTCTGACATCAGGCAAGATTTGAAGAAGGTTATGCCAAGGTGGCAGGGACCAGTACAGATCTAGGGTGGTTGTTCTCAGCACAGCCTACCTTGATTAACACAGAGGAAAGATTGCTACTCACTGTGAGACAGGAATCCGTTGGCCTGGTGATGTCACATTTATTTTTGCCTGTTTTCTTTTATATATTCTCTGCATTCTTTACACATATATTTGTAGCTCTGTAGCCTGTTGTTGTATCTGTGGCTAATTTTCCCTACCTTTTCCCTAAGCAGAAACACAAAACATATTTCAGAGCTCCATGCCCTGGAGAGTACAAGGCCCCTAATCCTATCTTGGTTCATCTTGGGAGCCAAGGCTGGAAACAGCTCTTTGAGGTGCATTTTCATAAACAAAGTTTAGTTTCTATCAGGGTGGGGGAGGATTTAGAGACTGTTGAATTGAGGGACAAATTACTTCATTGTGTGTGGTACTAATTGGTGATTTTTTTCAAATATGCTAATTTGCTAAGCTTATAAAACTATTCACCTCATGTGGGGGAGGAATTCTGTGCACATTTGCCATATCTGCACAGGAGGCCTCCAATAAAGATCAGCCTTTGTATTATATACTATGCTGTATGCTATACTATAATGTTCCTATACTAATATTATGTCAAAGATGTGCTGTTTTGTTTCTAGGTTCTTTAAGGCTTTACTAGAGGCCAAGAAGAGTATCCAGAAAGAGCTGGAGTGACACCTAGTCCAAGGCATTTTGAAGTATTCCATTAGATGAAGAAAGTCAATGTTCACTTGCCTTCACCTGGAAAAGACAGGCGAAAACTGCCTTCAACAAGACTACCCCATGGCAGTCTACCAAGTCTACCCTTCAACAAGTTGCTCTGCCCAACAGAATCAAAGATTAAGTGAAAAGGGCAAAAATTTTGGTGCAGATTTGTACAGTTTGTAGATGATTTGTTAATTGCTGGGTTGAGATAAGAAGGTTCTGTGGTGATTCTGTGCAGCA